CAAAAGTCATGCTAACATGGCATCTTTTATTGCATTTTCAAGCATCATAAATAAAAAAGACAAAATGTCATTTGGCAATTAATGATACTTTAATTAACAAATCTTCAAGATGAATTCAGATCTGTATGGTTATTTAGGTACATAGCTGTCTATCTTGATTACTTAATGAATTTGTACATACCTGTATTATTAAGGTAATTTGTACTTTGACCCTTAGGGGCCGTGACATCTCCTAATTGATAATTGGTAGATTTTTGATGGATAGTTTTATGAAGGTATGTGTTGAAATATTCGTATTAGTTTGGTCATCAAGATGAAATTTTCGTCTGAGGTGACAAACACACTCTGTATTTCATGAATGTATTTCACATATATGACAAACGCTGACACATTGATAGCCCAAATTGTAGTGTACGACATCCTTGAGATTTACCAGGTGTCATATTTGCTTTAATTTTTGTCTGTCTTTCTCTTTGATTTTGCTTTGAGTTTACAAAAAACAAAAAACATGATAAGACTAATATTAAAATTTTGAATATCTTGGTAATCTTGATTAATCTTCTTGATTAGCAAAGATTTCAAAGATGTAAGGAATTAGGCTAAGTGAAATACTTGTATACAAATTACAGTGTTGTATTAATAATTTCTGTTATATTTTGTGGAAACTGAAATATTAAGTGTCCCCTACCTGTAATTGAAAAAGGAAATCCTATTAAGCTTTTGCAGTTCTAGGTAAGTTAATCACATCAGTAATGAAGGAAGTATGTTTATTAGTCCTTTGATTGATATGTTGCTGGGATACTAACAAATCTTCCTGAAAGGTTTTATGATTCTTCTATACAGATTTATTGATGAAGCCAAGCTCCTGAAGATATGGCCAAATGTTCTGGGAAAACAGGAGTGCACATCAAAAGTCCTTTTGTCTGACATAAATGTCAAAACCACTGAACATCAAACATAATATCTTGCCATCAGACTACAAGGTTGTGTCAATAAATTGTTGGTGGGAATGCATAAATAAATCAAAGTTTTGACAAGTTCTCCTTATAAAAATGTATCATAAACAAAAAAATGTGTTCTTTTCTAATAATTATTAGTGATTTTCAGATACTGGCTGTTAAATGTCCCTAGTTAGCATAAAATTTACTCTAAGGGTTGAAATGGTCTTCTTGCACTGATAATGACTTGTCTATATGCCAGACCAGTCTGCATATCTGGTATGTCCTTTCAGGGTCATTGGCACGGTACCTCTGCTCTGGCATGAACATAAGTTTCAGTTCCTTGAGAAAGTGAAGGCAACTAGAACTGGCAAACTGCTTGATAGTTGCGGGGGCTGACCTGTGCTTTGGTAAATTCAATGTGGCTTACTGCCGTGATCTGCAGTGAAAAACTACCAATTCCACCAATATCTGGCATATGTTCGATTTTCTTTACTGCAAACACTGACAATCATCAGAATGGACCTGTTCCACAGAAGTTCATTTAACAAATTTAACTGTGAATAAGGCCTAGGTAATTGCTCATTGGGTCTCAAACCTTTGTCTTTAAGGTTAAACAAATGAATTGAGAAGTATATTTTTTGATCATACAACCTCCATCAATTATTTCATGTTTCTCTAAATGTTTGGTAAGAAAGTGCCAAAATCTAGATTAATTAACCATGTGGTGTATTCCCTAAACTTTAGATCAAAACAAATGAACACTTCATTCTATTTGAAACCTCAAACAGGTAACTACTAACATGAAAGTAAATTCTTTCAACTTTAAGATATAAACTCTTTTCAGTGAAAGTTATCAGGCCCTTTGTGAATAATTAAGTTCTAAACATTATAACAGTTGTTAATCCCGTTTTGGCCGCACACATTTCCAATTAGCACCCTAATTAACATACTTCCAAAATTACCTTGCTTTTCTTTCAGCAAGAAAATATGAATAGCTTTATACACAAATTTTTATGACCGGTTTTGAAATATTGTGTTTGGTGGGAGAAATATGTTTTTGTTTTTTATTTACAAGAAGAATCAGTTTTCATGATGTATATTGGTGAATGAGGCTGACATTATGTACATATTTTAACTGTTTCTTGACTGATTGAGGTCTGGTAATGCTATTAAGGGAAGATAATTTAGGAATGTACATGTTCTTGCTATTAACATGATGTTCCTATGTTTCCGTAGTAGTCAATCAAGGAACTGCTGAAAGATTCATTCATTTTTACATGTGTAAAAAAACTGGGGTAAATAATATTTTTGGCAGCTAGTTTGACTTACCCTTCCTGTACTTGCTTTATGTGCGAAGCTTGTATGCTAAAAACTTGGTAAATAAATTGTTTTTTGGACGAGTTTTTCTCAGTATTTGTTCAAAATGCTGGCATGTCTTCACTTTTGCTAAGGGAGAACTGTATAAACAAGTAGAAATTACAGATAAAAAAATGTTGATTTCAAAGCTGTACATTTGTATCTGTGATAAGTCTGATCTAAAAATAATAACCTGTCGGAGAACTTTCCATCAAAAGCAGTGATGTTGTTTGTTTTGATACAAATAATTTAAAGTGAATTATAACAGGATTGTAATTATTTACACCTACACCCAGTGACTACTATAATCTTTCAATTAGTACCAAATTGATTATCTTAAATCCTTTACAGGTATATTTCTTAAATAGACTTGTCCAGCTCCCTTTTTTGAAACTGCCGTTCATTAATTTTGGTGGCAGGATGTGCCTGCTGGTATGGCTTTATCCTGGTGGCAAATTCGAATCTCTACCCGTATCAGCTTTTAATAAAGGTTACTGCCAAGTTTGGTAAGTTGTTTGTGAAATGATGGTGTCAATGTATTGCAATAAATGATACAGATTAATAATAATGTTTTAGATGTTAACATGTTTCTAAAATCTCATTAAAACATTTCTGAAGAACTGAAATCTATATGAGCCGCGTCCGGACAAAACCAACATAGTGGGTTTTGGACCAACATGGATCCAGACCAGCCTGCGCATTCGCGCAGTCTGATCAGGATCCATGCTGTTCACTATCAGTTTCTCTACTTGTAATTGAGTTTGTAAGCGAACAGCATGGATCCTGATCAGACTGCACGGATGCGCAGGCTGGTCTGGATCCATGCTGGTCGCAAATGCACTATGTTGGTTTTGTCACGACGCGGCTCAATTATGTTCCTGAAATCTGTTTGAATTTTACCACCATGTTAAAATCTTTAATTTTCCTGTTCACAAAATATGCATTGTTAGGAAATATGCAGAGCAGATTCCAGCTTTAAGTGGTAACTGCTTTAGCTGAAGTCCTAATTTAATAGACAAATACTATTATCAATACCCACTGGAGTGAAATTCTAGAAAGTCGACTTTTGTAAACAGAAGTCCAAATCTGAAATTAGTTTATCAGGAGCCCCAATTATCATGACATTCCTAAAGTAATGAGAAACAAGCATTCTGATGTCCAGGAGGCCAGCAGTCTGGAATGCAAAGACAAAATAATTTTTCAAAACAATCAAAAGACTGGTCAGGAGGGGTCAAAGAAACAACTGATGTTTTTGTAACTCATCGTCTGTGTATTGATATTTCTATCTTTGTATATTGTCTTTCTTTAAGTTTCTGTATAGAAGAAGGTTTTATTTTACTCTTAAGATCCAAATGTTGATGCTGGTATAATGTGTTTGTTTTTAGTGCAGGATGTTAAAAGAGATGATAATCTATGTTTGCTCTTTCAGTCTCCTACAGATTATGTTTCTAATCTGTCAAATCTTAAGACATTATTTTTGTTAGTTGATCAAGGAAGAATAGTTTAAAGAATTTGGGGAAAAAAATATACTTCAACAACTTTAAAGCATATTATTTTTAAAATATACTGTTTTCAAAGTACATTGTTTTTAAAGAATTTACAATTTGAAATTTTATAGTTACTGCCAATAATTAAGAATGTTCAAGGTCTCTGGAAACTGAAGGATTTGTGTAAAACAGTTGTAACTTACTATTGTTTGATTTAGAGATTTCTCAAAATCGTACAGATTTTTGTAAATGTAAGACAAAATCTTTACATGTTTGATATAATCTATAGTAAATGAAATGATATGTATTAAATTTTTCAAAGTTTTGTTCTGTCTCATTGAACACAATTAGTTATGATGTGAAGACGATGAACTGTTTATGAACTTGTGAGCCTGCTTAATATAATATATAAATATATAAATACAAATATATTTATCAGATTCATATTAAATGCATCAGTGAGTAATTGAAAATATTGAAATAAATTTGATAAATCTTGATGAACTTTGATGGGGCTATAGATGTTTAATTGAATAGAAAAAAAACACTTGCTTGAACCTAAATTGAGCATGATTTTAGTTAATATTATTTATAATACTCTAGCTTCTGGAGTATAAGAAAGCAGTGAAATGTACAGATACCGGCCGTTTAGCTCATTAGGGAGAGGTTTTGATTTGTATTCCAGGGTTACTGGTATAATCCAAGGCTGGACTAAATATTTGTGTGTCAATTAATGGCATACATAATGTCTAATGGTCATATGTCTCTAACCACTGATTCAGGAAATGTGTCAGATTATTAGTTGGTCACTTGGGAAGATATCGCTAAGTTTTACAGGAAGGCTGTTTCGTTGGACTAACCACTGATATGACCAAGAAGTGTTTGAAAATCATAAAAACAACAACCAAAAACCAAGCCATTATTTAAATATCATATCTTTTACTGTACATGATCTTAACAAAATATACATGAAAAAGGGTTAATTGTCATATTATAAAATTATGTATTACATTATATAAAATATGTATTTCATTATATCTAGATGAGAATTTCAGGAAGCAAATTATGATTTGTTTAAATCTAGACTTGTCTTTTCACAGGGAGAACAGATAAACAGGTACCATCTGGCTGGGACAATAAATTGAATTAAATTCAATACTAAATACAAGTTTTAATATAAATTGCTTAATTTGGTTCTATTTTTGTATCTTTTCAGAAATAAACAGAGTAAGATTATGCTTGTTTCACAACAAATCCACCGCGCGAGAGCCGTTAAATCTGCCAGAACCCCAGGGTCCTATAGTCACATTATCCGAAAAATTATTTGTACCAGTCAAAGAACATCCAGAAGTAAGTTGTCAATGTTATCATGGACATTTAAAATCAAGAAATATCTGAAGAGATATTGCCATTCATGGTAGATGAACAGACAGCCTGTATGATTTGCAGAATGTAAATAGCACATAACCATGACAGCTTCTTGGGTGGGCATCATTTCAGATGATGTTTTGACAAAATGTGCCGGTGAAAAACTAAGACAGGGCATTGTTTTATAGAAAATGTTAATACATACAGAGGAAATGTTAAAACGTCTCCTGCATATCAATGTCTTCCTGCTTATATATTACATAAAGTTTCATATACATTAGAAAGTTTTGGTGAGGGGAAATTGGTGTTTTGTAAGCTTCTGATTGGTTCAGACCTGTCCATAAATATTGAAATAAAGTCAAAGTAAACTAAAAGATAATTGCAGTAATAAACCTTTAAACATTAGGTTTTGACCTAAGTTTTCAAGATAGGAAATTGATCATTTTGGGTCAAGTTAAATATAGAGACAAAAGATTGGAGACTTTCAAGTTTCTGCTTAAGGCTTGTGGAAGGGAACTGAAGCCTTTTTACCAAGATTTATTTGATAAGAAAAAACAAGACTCAAGATTTAAAGCTAAGAACAGGGGAAGTGCCACTAATGTGTATCATATATAAGATTGAATATAATTAAATAAGGCCTAAGGTAATTGTTAGTCAAAACATTTTTTGTTAGACTTTCATTTGGGAAAAGGGACCTATTTTCAGTTTCAAAATTGCAGGATATGGATGATAAGCAATTTGAAACTGGTTAGCAATTTGAAACTTTTTACTGGTCTCAATTTCCATACCTAGTATATCATATCATGTTAACTTTTAACATTTACCTAATAATATCAAGTTTTATTATTCATGTACCCACGATCAAGTTTTATAACTGAGGCTTTCCTTTCCAAAACTCTAACAATACTGATATTGCCTCAAATATCATTACCAAAAAAAGCGTGTAATTAAAATATCAAATTATATCAGGATGTGCACCTGTTGCTTTTTTGTACACCATACATGTACATGTGTATAAAATACTGGAAGACAGTTGATCTCAAAGAAATTTAAAACTGTTTGATATGAAGAAAAACTTTCTGTAAACTGAATGATAATTCTTCAAATTTTTGTTGTAATATGACTGTGTATTATATTAATGCCACATATGTGCGGCATTTTTAAGAAATACAAAGCTATAACATTGTGTAAGTGGATACATGTCTTATCCTAATGAAAACAAAGCATTAACTTGCATTATATGTACAAAAAAACAAGTAGGTAGCCAAAAAAACATTGTACAGGCAGTTAGAGCCAAAGACCAGTGCGGAGAGAATATAGGGATATAAACAAAAGAAAATTTTGGCAGATTTAATACAGAAAGAACACTTGTATTCGCAGAACTCCATGATAATTATTCTAGAACAAGTTTGAAATGGCAGAACAAATGATCTGAGTAGCAAAGAACTGGCATATCAATCAGGAAGTAGTAGTAACAAAAAAAAATTTCCCAGTCTTTGTACATGATACAAACTGAAAGAAAATTACTTGTACAATGTACCTGGCTAAGAACTTGTAGAACAAACTCTTAAAACGTGATAATCTGTCAAAACTTGTACCAGAGCTGTATGATTTACAAAAAATGCATGTGTGCTGTACAGTTTTGAATACGAAAACTGGTGCAGTAGTGTTTTGATTTTGATAAGCATTTCAAGCTGTTTTAAATTTTTGGTTTTTGGACAAGCACAACATTGTTGCTTCAGTTTTATGTTGCAACAATTTGTTGCTTTGAATACTAAAGAAAACCATTGGTTGTTATATTAAAATGATGAAGATTGTTTTAATCAATTTTTGAATTGTGCTTTTCAGTTCAATTTTGTGGGTCGAATATTGGGGCCGCGAGGTATGACGGCAAAAGAATTAGAACAATACACAGGGTGCAAAATAATGGTACGAGGGAAAGGCTCAATGAGAGACAAAGCAAAGGTATGTTACAATAATTATTAATATTAAAATATAACTCTTGAACAATTGTTAGTCCTATGTTAATCCTGTGATGCTTGAACAGTCTTTGTCACCAGTATAGAGCTAGGCCATGGTGCAAAGCCTTGCACGTTCTGACCAGACTCTGCTGTTGGCGACCCAGTTTTAGTAGAGACTGTATCATAATGAAAAGCAATGCAGGCTCATTATACGAATTTAGGCGGGTAAATGTTAAATAATGATCTTACCATTCAACATGTCCTATATATAGGGCATTCTCTTCCCGATTCTTTATCTATAAGTAAATGCTTTTAGTTTGGACTAAAGTTAAAATGTTATTTCAAGTGCTTTTTGAAAATTGATGGTAAAGCTATATGTAAGACTATAGATAATTTAGCATTCTAAACTGTTGGCAGTTTTGTTATTTTCGTTATATTATAAGATGATTTATGGCACAGGAATATGACACAGACATTATGACACTACATTAATTTAAGAAATGAAAACAAGATTTGCATTATGTAATTTCAAAACATCTGCTGAATGAATTAAGTCATCAAGCGCAGGCATTGGTGATGACTCCTATGCCATAAGTATAATGCCAAGTCGACTTACCGCACATCCCGGCTGTCTAAATAGACTGGTTTAATTTTACCATATTTACCTTTAAAAAATCCCATCCCATATAAAACGTGATAATTATAAATTCAAAATAGGACTTATCCATTATGTAACATTAGGGATGTTAGTGTTTTAAGAAAATGATTGCATTAACATTTAACTGGGGATAAATAAAAATCAAAGTTTAGTTTGTGATGTCTGTGAACTTTGTAATGAATATTTGACAAGTTTTTTTCCTCCTGAAACAAAGAGACATTAATTAATTGATATTAATTAATTTACCATGCAAGTGTTTTTTAAGAAAATACACTTATGAATTTATGAGGCATTTTAATCCCTGTGTTTACATTGATAAATTAATTCACCATGTTATTTTGTAATAGAAGGAAATAGGTGTAAAAAGTTGTTGTTGATGTCATTGTTGTAATAAGAATTATTTGATGGCTGAAATAGTAAACTACCAAATGGAAAAGTAGGTTAGAAAGCAAATAGCTTTCATTTATTTGATACTTTTTAACTTCCTGAAATAGCAGGGGGAAAACCTTGTATTGTGCGAAGTTAAACTAGGCGACTCCTATTTTATATAAGCAAGACTGTATCTCAAGGGCTAGTTGTTTTTGAACTAGAGAGTATAAAATTAAATTTCTTAAACTATTTTAGATAAGGAAAAAAAACAATACAAGAAGTCTTGTTCCTGGCAGGTAAGAAACCTGCCAATTGCCATTTAAAGAAAAACTAAGTCTTGCATTAAGTTTACAAAAGATTTGGTTAATCATATAATTGCTTGTTCAAGTCAGATCCCTTTTAATACACTTGTCAATAATGAATTGTCCATAACAGTTGTATAGACTTTAATCAACAAGTTTATCCGGAAAGTATTTCTGGGGTAGGGGTCTATACTGTTGGCTGAACAACATGGAAATCTCTTCCTCTTGCAATGGACAGTTCTGAATATAAAATAGGACATGTGTATATTCCACAGATACGGCGGGGTAATGATTGATATTAATTGTATTTCTGTTTAATTATAACAGGAAGAACAGAACAAAGGCAAGCCAAATTGGGAGCATTTAAATGAAGAATTACATGTGTTGATCACAGTTGAAGATACAAGGAGCAGATCTGAATTAAAATTAATAAAAGCCGTGGAAGAAGTAAAAAAATTATTGGTGCCTTCAGTAAGTATATATATTTATGTAGTAAAATCATTATATCACAGTGGCATGCTGTGTGGAAGAGGATAAAACCTGTATTTCACTGATTGTATTGCAAGTTAATGTTATGATGAATATTTTCTTTCAGAGGACAAAAATTGAGACTGCACGAGATTCCGGGCATTATCTTCAATCAGTCAGTTTAAGATATAAGTTATGGTGTAGGCTTTTTTTTTGGATAAATTATCAATATATTAAAGATAAAATTGACTTGAATTATCAATATAGTTTGATATTAGGTGACCGAGATGTTTAAAACTTGTTTAAAAAAGAGTTTAATGTAAGGGGAGGAGTGGGGATGGTTAAAATAAATTTTCTGGAATATTTATATAGTTATTTACATTCTTTTTTTGTATGATTTACATGTGGGTATATTTATTTCATACCAAAGAGTGGGAAATTACAATAGAAATTGCCTTCTTTGTTGCTCCTATGATATCAAGACCGTTTTAAGAACCAAGGTATATATATTACCTTTTAATGTTCAGTTTAAGTTTAGCAAAGAAGACCAAATTTATCAAAACTTTTATACAATTGGAACTCTAAAAACTTCTTAATACCAGTTGATGCATGTTTGATATTGAACGATTTTTATGAAAAAGTGTTGAAGATTTTTTGAAGGTCGGCAATTATTTACTCTTTGAATAGTCAATTCAATACAGTCAAGGTGAAGTTACTAGACTTGCTGGTAACTGTATATATTACTAGTTATTAATTGATTCAATCCATAGATTGCACATGTAGAGATTTTATAAGATTTTTTGAATTAAAGTGGGTATATAAATCAAGTATAAAATTCTGCTATTAATTTAAAGATAGCACTTAAAATGCTGAATAGATTAGTCTGTGACTTTGAAATCAGGAGCTATTTAGTCTCAGTATTCCAATGTACAAGAAATATTTTATTTATACCTCAAATTTCAGTAGATAATTCATTAGTTGGCACAAAACAGTTGTTTTTATTGCGTTGGGAACCAATATTTCACTAAAGTTTGGAACCAGCATCAAGTTCAAATCAATTTATCAGTGTATCTGATGGTAACTATCAGCTGTTGGGTATCAAAGTAATAACTCCATGTGATGCACAAAGATTTCAACCCAATTAGAACCTGATCCCATAATGCTTTAATTAGAGGCAAATTTTATAAATAAAAGATATCTGAAATCTTTAATTTAAATTAAATATTAAGGGTTTAAAACCATTAGTTTTCAAAGCATTTCCTTAAAACTGATTTTTCCCCCTTTTTAATGCAAAGGTCAAAGGTTTTGCCAGTAAAAATAAGAAATCCTAAAGCTGAATTGATCTTGGTTTTTTTTTATCCAATTTTTATCAATTTTAATTATTTTCAGGCAAAATGAAAAGTTTAATTAAGTTAGCATTGGATTGGAAAAACACAAGTTTCATTGTGTTTCGATATGTCAAATTAACGTGGAATCAACAGATTTCCTCAGTTATTTCAAAGAGACTTAAAACCTAACAATCATTTCTTCTAATGATATTTCCCATGTTTTACAGTTAAATAAAAGATTTTATTCGAGCTATACTGAAATAGTGAAAATTGAATTTACTGTTGACAAGCATAGCAAAATTGCATTAGTACTTTGTATTCATAACATACCCTCTATTTCTGCACTGAGCTTGTAGATTCAAAACAGTGGTTATATCAAATTTGTTACAATTTCTCTGCTGTGAAACTTTAAACGTTGTATGCCGTCAGTTAATATGAAAATCAAATTTTGTTTTTGGAGGAGAGAAAAAAGTAATTTTGTTTGCTCCAGTGTAACATTTAGAACAAAAGTGCATGTTCATTATATACAGTAGAAGAATGATGTTACTTTAATTGCACTACTGATACTTTATGTGTCAATTGTGGACATGCCGTGACATGGTTTAGTACATAATAAAGTATTATGAACTGTCAAAACATACATTAGGGTTTCTGTATGGTAATGTATAATCAGATCTAGTATATTTAGTACTGTTCATTTCGTTTTTCTTTCAATTAAAGAATGAAATGTCAGCTCTTGTAAAATAACAAATATAGTTAATAGTTGCTGAAACATTTTCAAAAATCTTAAAATTTCAAGTTTCTTGTTATCCTTAGTATGCAGCACTGGAAATATTTGAAAATTAAGTTTAAATATATTTGTTTTACTAAATTGAATGTAAATTCGATTTTAGGGTAGTTTAAATCAGTTATATAGTTTGTCAAAGGACACAAAAAACAATAACAAACAAAACATCCTCAGGGGCATGTACCAACCATGAATTCTGTAATTTTCTCCATTGTAAAATAAATGAATGAAAATTGGATATTATGGGTGAATTCAATTTTCTATTTAATGACAGGGAATAAAGTTATAAAGCTCATCCATTGGTAAGAGATGGTATTTGATTAAGGTAGCATTTCTCTTCAGTGCAGAAAATAATGTCAATCTTGCAATGAACTGTCTTTAAAAGTCCAATAACTGTCCAATAAGATTCTATAAATAGCCCAATATTGGACACGGCAAATTGTGCGAATTTGATGCTCGTAATCAAATTTGTCTTTTGTGACGGAAGTTTGAACCATGTTATTAAAGCATACATTATTGAGATAACAAAGTTCACAATGGAAAATTGATGTGAAAAAAATTCCAAGCATAAATTGCTACTGCATCAATTCAATATAAAACATGTTTCTTGATTGAATTTAGAGAATTTAAATCTATTGTTCTAACATTTAAAGAAATAAGAAAATGTGAGGAAAATCTAGAGATTACTCTCTTAAGGAAAATATAAAATCTTTGGTCGATCAATTTCTTCAGTCAAGATATCTGAGTCTTTATATCAGACATTGCAATTTTCTGTATGATTGGTAAAGAAAGTTGTGTCTTGAACTGTGGGGGGGGGGGGGAAATGCTGCAGTGAGTAAGCTTAGCTAATCAATATATTAATCAAGTTTTGAAATGTAAGATGATGTAGATGTTGAATAAATCATTCAGCATGATTTGACACTTATAGTGGAGAGCCTACTTCCCGGGACTCTCAATGAGGAATCTTACAAGGGTTATTGATCAAGATTGACATCTATTATAGAACATTAAACAGTAACTAAGGCCTAGGAAAATGTTGGGTTATCATGTCAAAACCTTAGAAAAATTGATGATTTTTTTTTTGTGGTTTCAGACTTTAAGTATTAACTTTCACATCATACGATGGTGATCTAAGGCCATAATAAGCCTAGTTTACTGTGAGAAACAGTCATTAAAATAAAAATATTTTAGAGTCAATGTTTTTCCAGACGAAAGAAAGAATTTTTTGGGGTTTCAAAACATTTTTTGATAAGTTTTGCTATCAGGAAATAAATATATCAGTAAGGCAATTGGCAAAAAACAAATTATTGTTCTAGATGAAAGAATATTACAAAACAAACCCCACATTTATTATCTTGAATTGTTCTGTCCTACATATTTTGACAACATTTTATTTTTAATGGGACATACCTGTTCACACCTGATACATACATACTGTTACTTACTTGAAATAGCAGTAGCTTACAAACCCTATAATCCCTGTACATATTAATATTATATAATAACTTGTCTAGATCATAACTGCTGAGATATATACAACTGAAATATTCAAAAAGGTGAAAAATTAATATACTATCAATAAGTTTGAATTTAAATAGTGCACAATTTGAGTTATTATATTTAATCACCATGCATTGAATTCAGCCGTGAATGATGAAATTCCTGAAGATTTTTTTTTTTTGTACAAACTTCAAACATTATGAATATATTTAAAAGCGACTAGAGAAGGAATGAAATTAACAAAATATTTTTGAATGGTTATATTTTTTTGCACACGGAGACATAAAGGTTGCATGTTTAACGTCTATTTAGTGTTATTTATTGTAATTAAGTCTGTATATAATCTGTCGAGAGATATTATTGAGGTAGTCCCATTACTTTCAGGTAAATTAACTTTGTACGTTCTACAGTATTACAAGGATATCTGTGTAACCTGAGATGATGTCGAGAGACCCTTAAGATGTAGAAAAAAAAATACATATATAAATTATACAATGAAAACCAGTCATGTGTGCCTTCCAAAGTAGCAATCTTTATTATAAGGATTGGGGTTTTTACCGACAGGCGATGAATATTTCAAGGGTAGCAATGCTGTGGTGCGTTATTATGAAAATATTTTATCTAATTGTATAATTTTATTGCTTTAACCTTGTATAGTTTTCTTTTATATGCACTGAAGAAGTTTTATTCAAAAAAATTACATACAAATTTTTGTTGGTTTTTCAGCCCTGGCATTTGATTGTATATAAAATAGTTTATATGATACATATGAAGGTAAATAAAGAATAATTTCAAACAAATGTATGTGTTAGGCTTCGTTTATGAATTCACTGTAATTCTAATTTTTCTTTTAGAAATGAATAATTCTGGTAATAAAACCTGTAGTGTTAAAATTGTGAAAAATAGGAAAAAAGACTTCATGTTTCATTGTAGTTTATTTATTGAAGCTGTATTAATCTTTTTGCAAGAAGCGTTACTAAGTTTTCGTATTACAGACATTTAATTTTCTTTGAAAAAATTACCATATATTACAATGATGTTAATAACTTTTCAATGAAATAGGGAAAAAATTGCTAGTAATAAAAAACATCTGGCGTATGTTAAAATTTGACCTTACATACCCCGATTTCTATATTATTTACTACAGGAAAGAAAGACTTAATGCCATCTATTGTAAACTTATTTTTTAGTAAGATATAAGAATTATCTTTAATTGCTGAGGTTGTTACATTAATGGCAATTATATAAATGGGAACTGGAAGTCCTAAGGAACAGTCTTGTCGGGAATGTGTCTATATTTATTCTTCATATTAAACATTCTTTGTTAATTGACTGCAGTAGATATTTATTATATACAAGTTAAATATGCTTGCAAACTTGCAGAGTAG